TGGCTCACTCGAGATAGATTGGATCAAAGTAGAGTAGAGAGAGGGACTGATGGGAAAATTGTCTTTGGGAACTGGGTAGAAGGAATGAAGAGAGAATGCTATGAAGGAGTGAGGCCACGATCATGGAATGCAAAAATGCTCGAAAGGCTTTCCATTACTTGTCACTTTGATGAGTCGTGGCTTGGTGCCGGCCAAACGACCAAGAATATACCAAATCGACATGGCAACGGTGGCCTAAATTGCGAATACGAGATCCAGCATAGTCTTCTAGTTTTGCTTAAAAATCTGGCCCATAAGCATCCAGATTTGATAGCACTTTGGCGAAACACTAAAGCCTACTTTCTCCTTTCGGTTGTCGATGTGTCTGATTCGCCGCCAGTTGTGCCGCTCGGTCACGTGTCTGCCTTCTCAGAAGCGCCACTCGTTTCAGGAATCTCGTCTTAGAGGGTGTCGACCATCCTCTTCGCGTAGGCAATGCGCTAATCACCTCTTACGGCCTCCTTTGCCCATTGAAGACATATTCACGCTTCTTGGTATCTTTTTGTTTGTGCACATGTTTGTCGCTACGCCTGCATTCTTCTTGCACTAATCTACTTTACCCCAACCGAGGCTCATCTTCTCTCCCCTCACAACCAGTCGCTGCGTTTTGCCCCATTCCTGTCGTTCTTTTCTTTTTACCCCCTCTCCTACCCTACCCCCCTTGGGATAGAATGAGACTATCCTTCTGCATTTCTTCGAATGTCATTCGTTTCGATCCGCACAAACCTAATCAAGTAGACATTGCCCAAGGCCAATCCCGCCCGACTCTCATTCTTGCCATCTCTGCGGGTTTGTTTTGCATTTAGAGCCTACAATCGGGCCACCTTGACATTTGAGAGAGACACACTGTTGGCCGGCCGTGTCTGCATGCAGAAGTCTGCGTGATCGGTTGACTGGATTCACGAACAAAGGCATAAATTACTGATTAAGTCTTGAAATAAGCACACTTTTATGATAGGACCCATAAAACTTTCACAGCAAGCAAGGGGCATAGGATGTGCCAATACGGTGCTCCTTCATGGCGCCAGACGAGGCTGCTACTGTTCAACCATTCAAGCTTTAAACGCCCCAAAAATCATCTTTACGAGGCCTTAACTACAGTCTCCTTGCTCAGGCCTCCTGGAAAAACGATTGTCCTGACCTGCCTCGTTGGGGCCTCTCATAGTCGACAGGCTGACACCAACATTCAGGCGTCTTCGTGAGACGGTGCAAATAGTGAAAGTATTGTTCTTTTGTAACTGGCCTTTCAAGACTACCAAATAGCTCATAAATGTGTGGGATGTATTTACCCGATTACGTTAAGATGGGGAAAATTCCTTCATTATTTTGACGAAATAAAGTGAATAAATCGCATATATCTTATTTGATGGTGGTCTCGAAAACCTACCAATAAACGTAAACTAAGTAGGCAGGCCGATTGCTATGGACAATCCCACCACAGAATGTGATATGGGAAAAGGCCTGGCCTTGTCTCAAATTCACATCTGCCCTGTGTCCCAAGGGCACTCGCGGCAGAGCGGCATAGTTGCTGAAGTGTCGAATCTATTTGCTGCACTACCAGAAGCCAGGTTCGAGTCCCACTGGCCGGCTGATGAGACGAGGTCAACACTGCAGTCCACTCCTGTCTGGATAATACTCAAGGCCTGCTCATATCATTTTGGGAAATTTCATCCATCACCCCTTGATCACTTTAACATTATTGTGTGAATACATATTATAATGAAACTATTTATTGAAAAGAGTTGACTTGGTTTTCGCGACTTGGTCTTGTTGTCAGGGCGGCTTAGTTGAAGGCACCTTTTCCAAAGTCCTCTGCCATAGTAGCTATCGTGATTCCCAGCATCAGACCGTGGACTTGGTACACTCTCAGACTTTTCGCCTGCTTCGTAGTCGGCATCATCAGTGAGTCTTGCCATTCTTGCACCGAAAGCCACATCATCTTGATCTGCATATCTTCGAAAACTATTTATTCATTATAAGTACATGGTCTAAGGTGCTTTAAGGTCCGATAGTCGAATTCTTGAATTGGCCCCATCGGATACCAAAGGAGAGTTGCCTCGAAGTTGTGACTGTTGGATTGCGCGAAGAAGACGTCGGCTCTTCCTTCATCTGAGTGGCATGACGGTGAGCCGAAGTCTAATTCACACAATCCAACAGTCACAACTTCGAAGCAACTCTCCTTTGGTATCAGGTGGGGCCAACTTAAGAATCACTTTCATATACCTTTTTACGTGAAATGAAGGTTATGCCGGCAACAGTAGCATGTCGATGAGACGGCAAATATGTATTTGCTAACAAAAGTTGTGTTTCTTGGAATCTCTTGTTACTTAATTGTTGAGTTTACCTCCATTTCAAGTGAAAATGTTTGGTCAAGAGATTCGAAAGTCAATCAAACCTGGATTACTCTTGACCAGCTGTCGAATGGCTTTACTGGAACATTATTGTTGACGCTGTTTCCGATGGAAACGTGCTAAGCTTTCGTCCCTCGTGTGAAGAACGACGCTGACAAGTTAATAAAACTCACCGACTCATCTCTAAAATGCTGTATATATACACTACATCTGACCTCTTTGATGAGGTATAAATTAATTTGGTTAGTTCCAGTCATATATCAACCTCGGAGCATGTGAGAATGTCTGTCTCTGGCTCAAAGTAACTAGGACAGCAGAAGTAACGTCTGTTCTTGACCGTCAAGGTTTGATGATCACTACCAGCCCCTCTCTCATACATGGTTTAACCATCTTTCCGATTGCACAAGATCGGACAGACGTTTGTTCTCTGTACTTTTAGCCAACTCTTTCGCTCTCACGACGAACGAAAGCTTAGCACGTTTTCGCCGGAATCTGAAGGGATTACCTCGGGAACATCTTCAACTCAAATGTTCCAGTAAAGTCAATCGCCAGCTGGTCAAGAGGAATCCGGCGTCGTCTTCTGGGGGAATCGACCTTCGAATATCTTCACCAAACACTTTCACTCGAAATGGAAGTAAACTCAACAATTATGAAACAAGAGATTACTCGAAACCCAACTTTTCTTCGCAGAACTTATTCAGTCTAGTTCGCTTAAGGGGATTTAAAGACTTATATACGAAGAAAAGTTGGGTTTCGAGGAATCTCTTGTTTCATAATTGTTGGGATTACTTCCATTT